TCTTATTAGAAAAGTACTTTTCAATAAACTATCGTAACTCCAAACGGCCCTTAGTCTAGCATGGATAATTGCATCGACTGCCCAAAAAACAAAAATATAAAATAAAAGAAAGCAGCTAATAATTTTCTAAACAAGAAAGCCAAGACGAAATTCTTTTCGCACCCTCTATGGACATCTTAAAATTAAGGTAGAATAAATTAGAGTTCAAAACAAGGAATTTCAGAAAGAGAGAATCACGACTTTGTGGGGCACCTCATATATTTGTGGGACGAGGGGCTGACAACCGCTCATAAACTTTTCATGGCCAAGATGTGGTGGCCCATCATCAACGGCCAAAACGAAATCGAACAAAATGGAGATGAGTGTAGAGGATTGTTGCTTTAATACAAGCTTAACTTTAACTCCGTTTGGTCTGGCCGTTAAGGGTATGAAAAATTCAAAATCAAAATTTGAAAATCAACTTTTGGTATGATTGGCGGGCTTTAAAACTCTTTCAACTTAAAAGATGTGGGAAGAAAATGGCGATAGTGGATTTTCTCTGAACACAATACATTGTCGCTGTAGTTCTTTTGTTCTTCTCCTCTCAACAAGCTCCTTCTGTTCTTCTCCTCTCAACAAATTATTTCGCATAACATAGACATAAGACATAAATTTTTGTCTTCTTCTCTTCCAACTCTTAAATAAACCCTATCAAAATGGGCATCTTGTCTGACGTCTGCACAAGATAATTGTGAAGATCCGCTGCAGCAACAATACACGCCGATTTAAGTAGTGGATGACTGAGATAGATATTCATCAAGTAACAAATGCATAGCCGAGACTTGTGAGCGGCCCATCTGAAATTTACTGCATGGTGAACTCTGTCCAAGGTAAAACGCTAATATTATATGTAATTTGATTTGTAGATACCAAATTTTTGTGCATTATTTTATTAGACTAGGGTTTTTATTTTATCTTTTGGGGATGAAACCAGAAAATCAAAAGAAAAGAGAAAAGAAAAGAAAATGGGCAAAAACATGGTTTTAGGGCATTTTGGGTTATTTTTGGAAAAAGTGAAAAGTTTGAAAATTGAAGGAAAAGTTTTTTTAGTGTTAATAGAAATTATTGCTTTTTGATACATTTTAACTATTTTCAAGAAAAAAAGAAAATTTTAAAAAAAAATTATTAATTTAGGGGAAAGTTGGCTTTATTTTACGTTACAAACAATTTTTGATTGCATTTTATTTTGTTTTGTTTCTATTATTGTTATTATTAATATTTTATCCAGAAAAAAAAAAGGTGTTCCACGTAAAATGGCCATCGGATGGCCAAGGGAGAAGCATTGAGCTGGGTTGGTTTGTGGCCATCCAGATGAGGGCTAAAAGAGAGGCACGGTGATATAAAAGGATAAGGAGAGAATCTAGAAGAGGAAGGGGGGGTGACGGCTAGAAAGACTGGTTTTTTTTGGATAGAAAGAAAAAGAAAAAACCGAGAACAGAAAGGAGCAGAGGGCGGCTAGGGTGAGAAAAAAGAAAAGGAAAAAGGTGGAAGAAAAAGGAGTGGGATGACGGCTGGAAATCGAGACAATCTCTGAGAGAGAGAAAAGGAAAACACCGAGGGAAAGGAGAGAAAACAAGCAAAAGAAGAAGGAGAATGCTGCAGAATTTTTCGTCAAATCTGGCTGACGAATTAGTTTCTTCCTGGCTGGTTTCTGATCTTTTTAGACCGTATTTCTGAAAGGTTTCTCTTCCTACACCTTCTTGGGACGTCTGGGAGCAACTTTCGTTCAGCAATTGTCGATTGAAAACATCCCCAACGCCGCTAAATTGAAGTTCCAAGTTGCTGGTTCTCCACTGCTGAAAGTTCTGCGACGGAAGTCCTCGACTGCGATTCTTGAATCAGTGTGACCTGATTTCCACGATCATTTTATTCCACCAGGGTTCTGAGGTAATCATAGTTTCTTCCCTGGTCTCTTTGGCAAAATTTTTCATCAGAATCCAAATCTGTGGAACGTGAACCTGGGGCCATCTTTGTTGCTGATTTGGCTTCATGATTTTTTTTATCATGTTTTGCCGTTTCTTCTTTAGATTTTTAGCCCAGATTTTTGCCCCATACCACTTCACCTGTTTAGACTAGAAATGTCCGGTCAAAATTTTCCCAGAAAAATGAAATCTTGGGCATGACACTCTCATTTTCTTTTATTACGTTGAATCTGGCTGCCTTTGTTTGGTTGTGGGTTCCTTTTCTGGCATTTTGTTTGTTTTTAATTTATTCATGTTTGGTTGGCCGCTGCAAGTAGATAATAGGGACTCTTTGCTGCATTTCATTTTCATATCCAGTTGAACTTGTGAATTACCAAATTCGTTGGAATTTTCTTGGGTTGCTATGTTTCGGCCAAGTGAAACAAAATTGCAGGAGGCCATGTCCTTCGGTTTCTTTTGTGCATGATCTGGATAAGAAAATCTTTGGGAGATGCACAGTATATAGTTGGGTTTTGATGATAAGATGCGTGAAGTTTTGTTTTGGGTTCAAAAGATTGTTGTTTGTTGAGACTTTGTCACTTGCGTTTGATATGAAAGTTATGGCAACAAAAGTTGCAGAAACACTTCCAGTTTTGCATGCATTGTATCTGAATTTTTTGTGGGTAAAGATAGATAAGGCACTGTTGTTCATGCTCCATTCTGTTAGAGCTGGAGAAAGCCTTGTTAGCCAGTCATTTTGATTACCATTAGGAAGAGCTGCACTGGTTCTTATGTTTGCTGTTTTTGCCTTCTCGCAACAATCCACCAAATGGGTTTTTTTTGTCACTCAATTTGCTGGTTGATCTCATGTTGGAAAGAGGAATTGGATAAGGGAGGTTAGGTTGGCATGTTTGGGGGCTGAAATGCTTGAATCATATTTGAATACTTGCTAAAAAAAATGAATTTCAGGTTGCTAAACCATTTTCTTTTTTTTACATGAATGTCTTGTCCAGAATTTTTGCATCAGTTTTTCATGTTTCTTGTTTGGATGTTCAGTCATGTTTGACGGGAGTAATTTCAAAGTTGTTGTACATGCAAATTAGGCTGCAGAATCGTGCTGAAGGCTTCATAAGTTGCCGAAGCCTTCAGTCGCAGCAATCTTCTTCCTTCTTTTGCTGTTTAGTTTTCTTTCTACCTTTGATGATTAGCTCCATTTTCTTGTTTCAATCCTACAATGAAGTTACAAGTTTAGTTGGTGATTGATAGTAAAATCCTGGCATATGGTGAACATATTTGCATGTTGAAATCCAGCAACCAGAAATGAAGGAAGTCATTCGTATGCATGCATGAAATAAATTCTGAACTTTACACTTTGACCCCCAAGTCTCCCTTCATTTCACTATAACCCAACCAATTGAATAATGTCCTCAATTTGGTCCTTGGCAGCCTTAATTTTACAACCTTATCGCTTGTTTGCTTCATGTAATTACCATGCTTTTGTTTAAATTGCACTTAATGCATGAATTTAAGAGCTTTATGACCAAGTAAGCTTGTGTTTGCATATTTTCTTTAATTTTCTCAAATTAAATTGGTGCCTTGACTTTTCTTTGTTTTTGGAGGGTAAATGAGTAATTTTACCCCATTAGGGCTCCAACTCAAGGGAGGTATAACTTCTTTTATCCCTTTTTTGTCTCCCCTATATGATCCAACGTGCTAAGTGAGAATTGCATGTCTACTTTGCTTTCCTTGTCTTTCCTTAATTCCTTTCATTTATTCATTTGCTTTTGCTTTTATTAAGTTATTCTTTATGGGGTATGTGTACACCTCTTGGCTTGTAATAGATAGGGCTTGGAGAGCATTTTTGTCCATTTTTCCCCTTCCCCTTTTGTTTTAGTTAGCAATGTAATAGGTTCATTAGCTTGATTGCTTGCTTGCTTTTGTTGCTATGTGTTAATTTGCTTTATTAGACTCTTGCATTTAGTCGAGCATGCTAAGTATTATGTGCTACGTGTTTATAGGTGATTGGCATGTCTACTTGCTTTCTATAGTCATAGATGAATGTGATGGATGAATGCACGTCACCACACTAGTCCAACGCTAGTTGTGGCTCATTATTCCGTTTTCCACTAGTCCAACGCTAGTAGGAATTCATAGAAAGGGCTAGTCCAATGCTAGACCCAATAGGCCGTCCCCCTTGCTAGTTCATACTTGCATGTTTCACTACATTCATACATTTTCTTAGTTTTCTAGCATTTGGCATGATCCTCCAATCCTTTCCCCTTCATTTTAGGTTTTTGCATCCTCATGCTAGTTATAGGGTACATTTGCCTGAAAGTCCCCTTTACGTAAGGGAAACGAGCGAGTGTGGCTACAAATAGCCTTAGCACGCTAGTTCTTCCTTCTAATCAAAGGGAAAATTAAAGTCGTAAAGTTAGGAGTCATTCCCATACCCGACTTGATGCATTCCTCTAGGTTCATACACTCTCATTTTTATCATATCACTTCCTCACCTTTTTTATCCACATTTTCTCATTACTTATATTTTTCTCAATCCACATGCCATGTTTGCATATTTTTTCTTTTATCATTTATTTTCTACCTCACAAATTGCACCCAATTGCACTTATATGTATCTACTATCATATTTTCATCCATCTGCACACAAACACCTTTATTTTCTCAATTGGCACACTTGCACTTTTCTTACATTTGCACACTTACACTCATACTTGAGTCCTCATTTGCATTAACCATGACCTCCATGAGGGCTTTCCTTACTGGCCACCACAACTCATGTGGTTGGGACCAAAAAACCTCATAAGAGACATTTTAGATTTAGGATTGCATTTTTTTTTCATATTCATTAGTCACATCCAACATGCAATGCATATTTTGGGTAAAAGAATTAGGAAAAGTAGGGCTAAGTCACGCAACTAGCTTTGGCTAGGGCAAGGGAGTGCCTTAGGCATTGCCTTTGCTTTATCCCTTATCAAATGTGACCCCCGATCCCTTTTTTTGGTTACGTAGACCTAAAAGTTCTTTAAAAAGGGTTTGTTTACTTTTCTTTCCAAAAATCACTTTTTGGGTGACTTGATACACCCTAACTCTATACCAAGTGGCGACTCCTTTTCTATCTAAAACCCTTTTTTTTGAACTTTGTTTGGCCAAACCGTCGCATTTCACAATCCCACGGCCTTTTATTTTTCACTTTCACACACGTTCACATACATATCCTACACACTACTTTCGCACAATCAAAAAGTGGAGCGCGACATGATTGTAATAAATGTGTTATTTAGTGAAGCATGATTTAAAAATTATAAGAAGTATATCATTTTCCTTTTAAAGAGAATGGTTAACTTTAACTTGTACAATAAAAATCCCGTATAGAATTTCAAAATATAAATGAGGATGTGTACAAATAAAATAACATAAGCGTAAAAATAATTTAACAATGTGACCAACTTAAATAACTACACAAACGGTATAGATGACAATGTATAGATTTTGAGAATTCTGTCAAACCTTACGCTATGTAAAAGTGTATGAGGCATACATGTAGTTGTTATGTTACAAGTTGATATAAAGGGTGTACACATTGTTATAAAGTGTGTACATATGATTGTAAAGTATGTAAATACTGATATTATACACAAATTGGTTATAATATTTGTTTGAAATGTATAGTGCATCAATGGATCTATGTAAGGAAATACAGGTACAGAATGCAGCTGGTCACTTTGTGACTCCAACTGGTTTGAAGAAACGAAGTGGCAGAAAAACTAAGAAAGTATTGCGTAGTTGGGTGGACAGGTTTCATAGGCAAAAGAAGAACTCTAGATTGTCTGAGGCAAGCACTCCTGAGATGGTTAGTACCGAATCTTATTTTGGACTTACATAACTATATCATTTCAATTGACTCTACTATTATAAGCCGACTGAGTTATTGTATATTCTTCTCTTGTTAGTCATCAGAATCCTATCAACCTATCCAAAGCCAAGCATCAAGCAAATGTTTGTCATCGAATAATTCTGTGCCAGTAAGTAGTTATTTTTATACTTTACATAATGTGCATTATAGTTCACTGTTAGTTATTTAAGTGTTACAAATTAATGTTTAACTTGTACACATTTGGTTTGTTTGGACAACAAAAATTTGGAATAAAAATTTCAGATTTTGTTTTGCTTGCATCATACACACAATTCCCAATCACCTTTTTATCTCACATACATCACATCACAAAAAGTGCTACTGTAACTGGATCAAATAAATCATCCAAATAAATTCTTATCCAAAACAAACTCATTGGTTATTAAGGTGTACATATTAGTGATAGATGTTCATCACATGTTATTTATTTTTGACACAGTAATATCATATTTTGTACATATTAGTTGGTACACATTACGGCGATCTCTTAATTTAATACATTTATATGTTGTTGTTTATGTGTACAAACTGATATATATGTTGTACGCATTGATTGATACCATGTACCACTGGTTATTTTGTTTTGAATATCGTTATTGCATTGACACATGATTACACATTTGGATAAATTTTTTACAGATTATTAATTTATTTGCTCACATTTATTTTTTCAATCGTACAAGTTACAATTATTTATCACCCGTTGTTTAGTTTTGACATGTGTTATTTTCTGGTACACGGTGTATATTAGTTGGTACACAGTACGGAGATCTCTTCATTTAATAACATTTACATGTTGTTGTTTTATGTGTACAAACTGATATATATGTTGTACGCATTGATTGATACATCTACCACTAGTTACTTTGTTTTGAAATATGAATAATTCCATTTGGACACATGATTACACATTTGGATAAAATTTTTTACACATTATTAATTTATTTGCTCACATTTATTTTTTCAATCGTACAAGTTACAATTATTTATCATCCGTTGTTTAGTTTTGACATCGTGTTATTATTTGGTACACGGTGTATATTAGTTGGTACACAGTACGGAGATCTCTTCATTTAATAACATTTACATGTTGTTGTTTTATGTGTACAAACTGATATATATGTTGTACGCATTGATTGATATCATGTACCACGGTTACTTTATTTTGAAATATGAATAATTTCATTTGGACACATGATTACACATTTGGATAAAATTTTTTACACATTATTAATTTATTTGCTCACATTTATTTTTTCAATCATACAATTACAATTATTTATCACCCGTTGTTTAGTTTTAATCATGTTATTATTCTGGTACATGGTGTATTTTATCTTGTACACTACAAACCATATCATTTGAAACCTATTGCATAATTACTTCAATCTAATGCATTGGTTATGTGTTATATTCATAGTAGTCCATAAGTTTGTAGTATAACTTTACAATGTATTCATTTATGGTCACGTATGTACTGAATTTTGATTTTTGTTTAGATTACTTTCGGTTGATTTTTGTTTACACATTGTTAATTCAGTTGAACACGTTGTTATATATTATGTACACATTTGCATCATAATTTTCGTACGACCTGGCATCTTAAATTTTGGACACAATGTGTATTTAATTTTTACAAATTAGTTAGTTTGCTGTTATACACAATGTTAGCATGACTTTGCAACTAATGTAATGTGCAACTCGTGATAACAGTCATTCAGTGAATCAAATTTTGATCATCCCCAGTTATTCACTCAGATATACAATATTGTAGGATGGTAAGTCAGATATTGCACTTGTGTGGATAACCAAGATTTTGGACAAATTTACAGTATCTTATTCAGTACAATACTTAATGGTAGCCCGGTGAAACTGGAATCACTTCTCAAATACTGAGTGCTCATAATATCCTGTATTCAAGATCGTAACAATCTCCCACTTTTGCTTCCCAACGATCCTGTGAGCAAGACAAAGTACACAAGTTTCACCGAATTCTTAATGGTCAGTAATTCTTTAAAAAACTCATTATTTACAGTTATTATTTAGAACTATTCTAACCTTGTTACAAGACTATTGTAGGGCATGCTCTATGAACACTGAACTTTTGATTTAAATAATTTATTGTTTGTTTCAATGATTGCCAGACCTCCATTGTGCCTCTGTGGAAAGGTTAAAGAGCAGGACTCTCATGCAATTAAGCGATGAAGAAGTGCAACTACCTACGATATAAATGGGTAGAAGCTAATTGCCTTCCATGAATATGTATGCTAAGCTGATGTATCTTTGTGACCCTTTTGGAACTGGATTGGAACAATGTAATACTAAAATGATTGTTTTACTTTTATATTAGATAGTAGTTTGAGAATTGCAATCAATGCAGAATAGTTTTACACCTTTTACTTCTATTCAATTGATTAAAAGAAGTTATATATTCATCGTGGTGTCCCACCCTCTCTGCCGCAAACAAAAAGTGAAGCATGTCCCAACAGTAATGAACTTTGCTTCAACACAAAATTCTATATGTCCCACTAGCAGTAAAAACTTCATAACTAATGAACTTTGCATCCAACAGTAATCCCAAAAGGAGATAATTCTATACAACACAAGTACAAAATTCTACGCAACACAACTATAAATTACTAAATATTTGTCAATCATTTATTACAACTGGTTTTTTCGTTGGGGAGGGATATTTAACAACTCAAGGATGGATTCGATCCATTCGTTATGCTCGGTTGCAACCAACATAGACACATATTGCACTCGATACTTCCACATGTTATCCTATCCAAGTATTGAAATAATCAGCACCACATGTTATACATTAGTCATCATAAAAATAATTGCTACCAAAAATTTCTATAAATCAAAATAATATATATACCTCCGTAATACGTATGCCTAATCTTCCATTCCAGTGCTCTAGAAATTTCATTATGAACACACCACAATCATAGCTAAAACACGAGGTATACATTGTCATGGCAACCAGATTGTAGGACATATAAGTTTTACCTTACCATCCTAATAATATCTTCACCACATATAATAAAATAAGGTTAAAGTGTTATGTCCATGCCTACCATATTCAATTAGGTATAGATAATTCCAAAGGGCTATCTGAAATTTTGGAAAGAAACATGTATAAGTTATCCATATCGAACATTAAAGTCACCTACTTTACAAGTGATATTAAACTTTCTGTTACTACACAAATCAGATGCAAGTCAAAATATAATAAACAGTGCTCTAAACGTTACTAGTGTACAACTCAAGGCCCATATTATAACCACAGGATGTTCCACCCATTCCTTCCATCTAGTAATCCTTTATCTAACAAATAGAACCAGGATATATTTGCTGAAACTGTGTCATAGCCATGCAGTGATCATTGAAAACAAAAAAGCACCGCCTTTATGCTACTATAATTTCTTTTAATGAAGATTTTACTTCAGAAATCTAAGTCCTAAGTGGCTTTATTAGATCACAACTTAGCATCAACAATTCAATACTCCACTCAGAAGCCAACATTCACCTTCAACAAGATCAGTGTAAATGTCATTAATGTGATGGACCAACAGGCTACTCAGTCTTGCTACATGATATAGGCATATATATCTATGTAGAATTTGAGTATTCTCAAACTCTTAGATATTAGACCCACATAAACCTTATTCTGTACATAACGAAGAATATAGTTTCAGGAAATATAAGGACATATGCTAAGATATGGTGGCCAAGATTATCATGTTTAAAATGTTTTAATGATTTGAAACAAATTTTCCCACAACTGATAAAAGAAGAGCAAAACTTCTCCTAATTGAAAACACTTTCACTAGTTGCTTTGCACAAAAAAATAAGTAATCATCATCTAGATAAAGTCCACAACATCAGCCTTTCTCAGCAAGCTCATGTCTGACAAATTTAACCACAAAAACTTACCCTTTTCTGCGAGCTTTCAACCCAATACTTATTTGGCTTTGAAAATGTTAGCACAGCATCACCATCCTGAAAATGATAGCAATGCACTTAAGTTCTCATTTTCATTGTCTTTCCGCATCTTCAGTTATAATTTTGGTCTCAAGCCACGACGGTTTTAGATAGAGTTTAAGTTGATTTAATCTACTACTCGAAAATTTAAAATTTAATGAACAAGACAACAATGGCAAATGTGGCGGCCCCACTTCTCCCTAAGGCGAACCAAAGGGTTGGCGGGTCGCCTGCCTAGCTCTCGCTAGGACTCACGCACTCTAGTAACTAATTTCACCAAATATAAATCGAATAAACCTTACTTCTCGAGCAAGTCACGTACTTAAATAATTCATACAATTCAACTTATACAGCCCAAAACACAATTCCAGGTACCAACGAAAACGTCGAGCTTAGTATACTTAAATTCAACTTAATTTACAATTTAAAGTTCCTAATCCAGGGCACAGAAGCACCACAGGATTCACATTCTCCCAAAAACACAAAAATCATCCAAAAGATACTAACGTTTCCAAAAGTACAATTGCAAAATGGGCATTCAAAATATAACATTTCTGTTCAAGTTCTCCAAGACTTCATGCATTTCAGAACCTGTCAAGGAAAACAATTTGGAAGGGATGAGCCAATAGCTCAGTGGTGTCTCGAAACATGCAATTCACATAGAGCAATTTAACAAGTACAAATGGACAAGTAAGCAATTAACAATTTAGGAAAACGAAGTAACATGACAAGAAAAGGATACGGGGCTCTCAGGAGCCAAAGTCCTCGCGCTTGATCAGGAAATTTATAGTAGTTGACACTCCGTCAACTTTCACTACCTAATCTCCATGTAGACATTTTCCCTAATCTACACGTCTCCTAGCAACGACTTCCCCCTTATTTTCGGGCCCGTCTCCAACACAAATTTTGCAAGCACTTTTACCAAGACGGCAGAGAGTACCTCCCACTCTAATAGAGCGTGGTACGTGCATCCGTTTGGTTTATTTAGTCGACGAGACCACGCTCCAATCGACATTGCAACACTTGTACTTGTGGTATTTCACGCAATCACATAGCATATAGCATTTCATGATATCTCTAGCAAGTACTTTTAACAAGTAGTTCAACTAGCGGTTAAACACGATTCATGCAAGAGACACTCACCTCAAGTGAAGTGTCTAGAATTCCAACTTTGATCGAGATTGTGCTCTTCACCAACTCCTAAAATCATACAAATAATTCACATAAATTTCCACTTTTGAGTTGGCGAATTTAACTCGAGTCAACTAGCATTCAATTTCACTCAAAAAATCCCAAGCCAGTATTAATCGTTTTCTCAAAGTGAAATCCACAAATCGAGTGAAATTAAATTTTGAGGTTTCTTTAAAACCAAAAACTTGCTAAATTCGTCAAATATTCCAACATCCAAATTCTAGAATCATATAAACCATTTAACACCAATTTGGTGTCACAAGTTGAGAAAAATCATATTAAACCATTTAGAGGAATTTTCCCCTCAAATTTTTCCCAAACATATCTTGGGAAATTCCTTTAAGAGGCAATCATATAAACCAAGTAAAACTAGTCGTTAGAATTTCTATAAAATAGAAACTCCTTAAGTTTGCCAAATTCCACGACCAACTTAGTCCAATGATTTTCATGAAGGCAAAAACTTGAGTTTTTAGGAAAATTTCCAGATTTGACAAATTCCTCAAATAGGGCATTTGGTCTAATAAAATTCAAGGTTATCAACTCAAAGTGGATCTAGTAACAACGGTTAATGCTAGAAAGCATTTTCGGGACAACTTTGGTCCACATTTACCCACAATGAAATCCAAACATCAAACCATTTCTAATTTCAAACAAAAATTCTGTTTTGGTATCTTCTTGAAGAATAAGATTTTGGTCCACTTTTTGGATGTAAACTCTACTAGATTTTGTCCCCAAATGGAGCTATACACACCCCTTAACTAAACACAAGTCAAATCGGGTTCATGTTACGTGAAAATTATTCAACATGTCTCATGCAAAGCTGGGAAAATTTTCAAGTGCATTCGGTACAAGCAGTCCATTTCCTCTTCAATTTGTCCACAACCTTTCAACTACCCAAAAGCTACATTTTCACCCAAACAATACTACCCATATAGGTTAACATGTATACAGCCCAAGTAGTTCAAAAATTTGTCAAAATTGACCCCCAAAATTCGACTAAAATCTGGAAAATTTCCAGAATATTTTGGACAGCATATACCTTCCTTTTCCTTCAATTCCTCAACATCATTTCAACTACGAAAGTGGTGCATTTTCCCTCAAATGACCATAGACATTCAGCTTAACATTTACACAATCCATGAAGCTCAATTTCTTGTCAAGAATCAGATCAAAAACTCGAACACAAACTGGGAAAATTTGGACAGTTTGGTTCAACAGCAGAGCAGTTTTTCGTATTTTGGTCACATCTCATTCAATTCAACTTAGATTTGAGCATGGTTGGTAGCGTTGGAAACTACACTCATAGGGATACAATTTTTCAGAAGAAATCATTTTAAAATTCTACTCATAACTAGCTCGAAATCTGGCAGCAAAACGCAGCTCATATCCTGGCTTCCAGTGAACCAGTGGAGCAGGACAGGTGACTTTAAAAGACTGCCACGGTTCACTCAGGTGGAACCAGGACTTGAATTTTACACCGTTGGAAAGCTGGAAGAGTCTAGTTTCTAATGGCGCTAACGGCACTCAATTTTGATGTCGGAGGGCAGAGTTATGATCGAAACAAAATGGCTGCCTGGGCCATACGGGAAAAATTTCCAGAATTTTCGGTAGCTCAAAGGGCATTTTTCTCTTTGATTTTTCAATGAAATTTTCCATTGTTCCAAAGCTGCATTTTCACCAAAACTACTCTACCCATATAGGTGAACATATACATGATTTAAATAGCCCAATAACTTCACAAAATCCAGCTCAAGAATTCGGGTAACAATGGAAGAAAGTCAAGCCTGTTTGTGCGGCTATAGCAGAGCAGAATTTTCTCCTCTTTTTGCTCAACCATTTTCAACTTATAAGTCCATAACAATCACAACTAACTAGTCTAACCTCCCAACAAGCAATCCAGTTCATTACCTAAGTAAAAATTGCAAAACAACAACCGGTAACCAAGCTGGAATTTTGCTTCCCATTTCGGCCAGCTCTCCATTTTCATTCTTAAAATTTCCCAAACATATTACCCACCACAAAACACACATATAAACACATAAAACACCTCTAGCTTCATCATTCATTAGCTTAGAGGTTCAGCAACCCAACAAGTTTCACCAACGCAAGTTAACATTTCAAGAACCACAAGCTGCAAAATCTGAAATTTTTGGCTAAGGTGCTAAGCTGGAGTTTGTTACCTTCAAGTGGGTTGTTTACTAGCTAAATGTATT